GTCTTAGAGGTTAAGCTGTAAGCTAGAGGGTAAGTGTAACTTGCTCAGTGGTTCTGTGTGTTTTCCAGCCACTCATCTTTCTTACTTACGTCATACTCACCAAGTTCTTAAATGTTTAGTAGGGTAACTAAGTAGATTGTAGCACTGTAGATGTGAATGTCTCACACTGTTACTGGGAGGATTTCCCGGCTTGTGTCTCCAATAACGCTGATAGTTGGCAGGACAAATTTATTTTTCTATGGGTATTTTAATGGTTTTTCTTTATTTTCCTAAGTGAACTATGCTTAACATAGTATTCTCTCTTACGTATTTCTCCCATCGTACCACAGTGTGGTGCTGTCGCACTTTGGCTGAGTATGTACAAGCTCACCTTTTCCTCTTGCTGTCACATTTCTTATTTTGTGGCGTAGATAAATCTCTCTCAGAAGTGTGTGAAAATGCACTCAGATTGGGTACTTTTTTAGCCATACGTAATGAGTTGTGTGATTGCTTGTTAGTGATTGTGTTAGATTACTTTTTATGTTAATTAGGTTTTTATAAACATACATACTTAATTTTTTCCTTGATTGTTTTACCATATTTCCTCCTATTGTTATTACTTAATATTATTTATGACAGAGTCCAGTCAAGAGGAAAACAGTTTATCACTCATGTATTGAAATCACATTTATATTAATCCTTTTTGGAAGGGGCTGCTCCTTTACTTTGTTCAGGGTGCTTTTTTAAGATGTTGTTTACTAAGCCAGCATAAAAACAGTTTTTATTCAGTGGCTTCTAGTTATACTCAATATGGTGTTGAAAAATAAGCATCAGATCATGAAAGGATCCATGGTCCAAAAAGAATAGCCTATGTGATGAGACTCTTAAGATCACAGTTTCAGATTTCAGTGCTTAGAAATGAATGATAATTTTTGTCTTTATCTAAAGTATCACATACTGGTACATTTAGGATCATTAGAAATATTTCCTGGCTAAATGAGGGAACAGTTTTGAAGACTTTAAAATTAGTACATATTAATTATACCGAGTAATAGGCTCCTTTGTGGCATTTTCATAACATGTACATAACCTACTTTGGTCATATCCAGCCCGTTAGCCTCCCTAACCCTCCTCCCTCTTACCCTGCTTTCCTTCTTTGATAGTCTGTCTTGAAAATTGTTTCGAGTCTTTTGCAGTGGGGTTGGTGGTACATGAACAGTTCTGTGACAGAACTGACCTTAATATTTTCTGTCCTGGAGTTAGTTATGGGAAAGGTATTTACTACAGGAGAAATTGTATGTACTCTGTGACCGTCAGTACCACGTGTGTTGTGCATACCGTGATAGTCTTAGCATCTAGCACGTTGATGTTTTTAGTGAAGGATCGTAGTGAAATTCTAAGTGCATATTCTCATGGGATTAATTAATGATTAGATGGCAATAATGCCTTAATAAAGAGATTCTGCATAGTTTTTCCAGACAAATTCTCCCCATAAGAAGTGTCCATAGATAATACTATAGAGCTATCATTAGTCAACTGATTGGGAATATCAGATTTTAGAGTAGATCGATGTTATGACTGAATCTGCAGGGGTACAACCTTTAAAGTTTTCTGGAAAATGATATAGACATGAACGAAGGACAGAGCAGCAGAGCATTTATGAAGAAACTTACCAAATAATAATTAACGTTCATTTATTATTTCCGTAAATTTGGTTCCTCTTCGGGCCGGGCTGTCTTGTACTATAGGGTTTCTTGATAGGCCTGAAGGTGTAAATATATGTCTAGAACTATGACCTACTTGTTTTTAACTATTAGTTCAGTACATAATTATATTTGTATATTGTGTGTGTTTCTGAAATAAATAAATGAATGGTGATAGAAGGTTCCTGTTTAGTGGTAAAGGCAAACAAACAGTTTAGTATTTTGGAATAACAGGAGTCCTAATGTGTCTTTCAATTTGTGTCTCAGCTTTTAGTTCTAGGAATCAAATCCTTTTAAATTATATCTTTTGCCGGGCGTGGTGGCGGACACCTGTAATCCCAGCCCTTGGGAGGCTGAGGCAGGAGGATCGTTGCGAGTTCGAGGCCAGCCTGGGCTACAAAGTGAGCTCAAGGCCAGCTTGAACTGCATAGGGAGACCCTGTCTCAAAAGAGACAAAAAAAAAAGACCAAAAAAAAAAATTCATCTTTTGACATTCAGTTTTAGAAAGCTGTGTAGTGTATTGTCTTTGGAACACTGAAGCAAAAGGTACATTTCAGATTTGAAAATGAGCTTATTTCATAGTAGCATCTATGAAAGAAAAGACATTAAAATCTGGAGGGTTTTTTTTTTTTTTTTTAGGAAGTCATTAGGAAACATTTTAAAAAGCCATTATTTTGAAGGGAATAATTATGTATTAATTTCCAGTCCCAGTGATAATTTAGAATAAAAGAACAAAGTTCAACTTTCTTACATTACCAACAGCTTACAATAAAAAGAATTCTTTTTTCTTTCTTAAATATAGCAAAAATTTAAACCTTTGAATAATTCAACTGTTTTAAGAGTGTGTGTGTTACAGATTTCTGAGACTACTCATACAAGACATTTCCTTTTAGTTACTTAGAATTATGACCGATTTGGCTGCTATAGTTTGTCAGATTTTGGGAATATGTTTTGGTACAACCATATTATATTTCTGGTTAGTTATTTAATAATTAATCATCTACTGATTTCCATTAAACTACTGTGTTGATCGCTTTCTCATTGCTAGGACAAAATACCTGGCAGCTACATCTTAAATGAGGAGGGGTTCAGTGGTCTGTAGCAGTGATGGCGAACCTTTCAGAGACCAAGTGCCCAACCTGCAACCCAAAACCCACTTACTTATCACAGTGTGTGAACACTGCTGAAGCCTGAACACTGAGGCTTTAGTTTAGATAGAGCGATGCTCGGCAGCTCCGGTGACTTGGGTCGGGCTTGTATGCTGATAGAGAGGGCTCTCTGCGTGCGCCACGGCACACGTGCCACAGGTTCGCCACCGCTGGTCTGCAGTCACCTGCTCCAGGTCAGAAAGGGCGTGGTGGAAGGAAGCCGTTCGCCCATGGCAGCCAGGACGCAGAAAGCAGAGCCCAGGGGAGAGAACGCACCTTTCCAGGTCACTCCCTCAGCGATCCTCCTCATCGCACCAGCCTCCTAACAGCAGCTGTAGCACCTTACGATTCAAACACCTCCCAGAAACATGAGGCTTTGGGGGAACATTTTAAATCTAAACCATAACATTCCACCCCTGGTCCCCAAAAGGCTCATGTTCCCCTCATTATGCAAGTACATTTAGCCATCTCTTAAGTCACCAAAGTCATAATAGTTCTGACATTGCTGAAAAACCTAAGTGCAAAGTTTTCTCTGAGACTCAAGGCAAACTCTTGTCTGCACGCCCCTGCAAAAACCAAAAAGAAAGTTAAATACCTCTAGCATACATTAATGGTACAAACTAAACATTTTTATTCCAGAAGTAAGGAACAAGGGGGTCTGGAAAGGAATACTAAAAACTGGCTAGGGACGCATTTAACTCCTAGGTTACGTGGTGAAGTGTGAGTTCCTAAGGGCTTGGTCAGCCCTGCCCCCCGGCATTGCCTATTGTAGCCCACGTGGTCTCCTTTGCGCTGATTCTGCTTGCTTCCTACTTCTTTATTTCCAGCAGATGATCCATGTTCCTGGCATGGGCTCTCCACTGCTCTTCTGGCCTTGGTCTCACAGCCTCACGCGCTGCCCTCCGAGGGGCAGACTGTGGCCACTCAGGCCTCCTCAAATCTGGGTGGAAGCGCCATGATTTGACATCTGTTTCACTTTACGTGCTTGAAAATGAGCACCATGGGTATGACACCAGGTCTGCCGCTGGCTTGAGCAGTGCACCGTGGCTAAGGTGGCCTCTGACCGTGTGGATGGCTGATCTCCACTTAGGTGGTCCTGAAAGAGCAGGGCACTCTGTGACTCTCAGAGCAGTCTTTTAAAGGAGTTTACCCTTTATACCCCTTTGCCTGCATAGCTCAGGGTCAGGCTAATTCCTGAGGTGCTTTTAACCCACCTTTTCTATTCTGAAAGTAATGAGTTCTTTTTCATCTTTTAAGGAACTGTGTGCTCCCCTTGTCCCCAACTTTCTCTGCACTTCCTTTGTGGTGAGACTACAAGCTTTGTACATCTGCCTTTTCCTCTTGATTCTCCTTGTAGATCTGGCCAAAAGCAGATAGCAGTATCCATGACGTAACTTTGAAATTCCTCCTGCGAGATTAATTAATCCACTGTCTTTAAATTCATCGTCACACAAAGTCTTAGGAGATGGAGAAAACATAGACTAACTTTTTGCCACAGTGTGGTATTCGTGGTGTCCAGTCCGGTTGCCAGTGGAGCTCTCGTTCCCAGCTGAAACTTCCCGAGCCTGGCCTGTTTCCTGTCTGCATTCCCATCAACATTCTGTCTTCCGAGTTTCAACTAGAATCATCCACTGGGCGCTGCTTATAACATTCTGCGGTTCTTTAGCCCTCAAACCAGTTCCAAAGACTTCTGACCCACGTGGTCCAGGGTCGTCGCAGCAGCCACCTCACTCCGTCTCCCTGGGACAGAGCAAAGTAAAAAGTCAGACCTCAGAATAGCACGGCTCTGTTTTAGGAATATTTGTTGTTGATTTCTGAGACATACTCTGTCTTATAAAAGACATTTCTTTTTAGTTACTTAGAATTTATAACAGATTTGGCTGGTAAATTTTAACAGATTTTTGGGATATCTTTTGGTACAACTATATTGCTTTTCTGTTTAATTATTTAATAATCCATCATTTCTCTGATTTATTTTAAGCTGTTCCTATGTTTCCAGGCTAATCCATGTTTGTCACCATGTATTCTTGTCTTACTTTCCACATCATTTGATTTGGTCATATTTGGTTCGGGATGTGATCATAAGAGTCGGCCTATAGTTTCCTTTTATCTGTTACCTTTAACAGTTTCAGTTAATACAACTGTATTTTTAACTTCTTTTACTTGACAGGTCGTGGTTCAATTCCAGAATTTTTTCATATTATGAAACGAAAGTTTACTAACAAAGAATGGGAGACAATCAGAAGCTTTAAGGATGAGTGGACCCAACTGGATATGTTTTACAGGAATTGGGTAAGATTTCTTTCCAATTTTTAAAGTATAAGTCTATAATGATTCCATTATCTTCACTAACACTGAGTGAAATAATATCTTCACTAAAAATAAGTACTGCCTTAGTAGTACCCTAAAGAATAATGACATTTGAGAAAATTTAACATATTTAATGTTCAATTGATGCTCTTAAACCTGAAAAGAAGACATTTTACTTTAATATGTTCTGTCTTAAGTGCATGTGCACATCTTATATAATATTTACTGTATGCTAGAGGATATCACTTGCAACTTTTCATAAGGTAGTTAGTTTAATTCTCCTACTAGCCCTGTGAGGATGGGATGTAGTTAGCCCAGCTTATACACAAAGGAGTGATTTGCTTTAAGTTCATGTGGATGGTATGTTTCTATGTTACTAGATGGATTTTTTTTTTTAAAGCTTATAGCTGTAAGAAAGTGTAAAGTTAGAAATCTGGATTATGAGCCCTGTAGATTTTCTGAAAAGTTTATCTATTGAATAGTCTAAGAGAAAAATATCTGCCTGTGTCATAGGCGCTGAAGGAAAGCTTCATCAAAGCCGTTGGTGTGGGACTGGGATTTGAACTGCAGCGGCTTGAGTTTGATATCTCCCCATTAAACTTGGACATAGGCCAGGTTTATAAAGAAACGCGTTTGTTCCTGGATGGGGAAGAAGAAAAAGAATGGGCATTTGAGGTAAGAAATTTATCAGATTTGTAGTTAAGAATTTCCATATTATGTGCCTGTATTTAAGATTATTTTGTGGGGGCTAATTGTTGAGGTTAAACACAAGTGAAATCCAGCTTTGCTGCCCTGAAGATGAAGTCAGGGTCACTGTGAGAGCCTGGGACGTGAGTTGATCGTTGGAAGATGAGACATTCTGGTGAAGCAGAATGGGACCAGAATAGAGAGCCTAAAATTGAAAGAGCTGCGTGCGTGTTAGTGCCACAGGTAGCCACAGTGAAGGGGTGACCTTGGCTAGTAGTCCACGAGAGGCGTCACTAGTCAGGCTAAAGTTGTGGCCTGTTCATTTGTTTTCTGTTATTAGCAGTTCTTGGTTGCTAGGGAGAAACCCAATGCAGACTCAGAAAGCCAAGAAGACATTTTCGCAGGCCACTAGAATAGTTCAGTAAATGGACCTCAGAATTAGCCAGCATTAAGGAATGAAGAATGCAGAGCTCTTTATCCTTTGCCTTTCTGTGTGTCTTGCCTTTGTTTTTTTCTCATCTGTGTTGGTCATTCTGCACACCAGCTGCCTCAGTTTCTCTGGGCGGCATTGCAGGACACTGCCCGCCTCTCTGGCATATACCACTCTATAAACTTGAAAGAGACTGGTGAGCGCTCTCTCTGTGGCATGCCCAAAATCCCCGTAGAAGGACTTCCTCACCTAACTTGGGTCCTGTGTTTATCTGCAGACCCATTGCTAGCCTAGGAAGTGCTCTACTAATCAGAGGCTGTATGTTAATGCGGTTACTCCTCGGACACCTGAATGGATGTGCAAAGAAGGTCGACTGCCCAGAGTTAGCAGGGAGTGGTAAAATAGGAGGTGTTCACTAATTTTGTCAGCAAGTAGGGAGTGGTAAAATCAGATTTGTGTTTTAAGAAGACCAGGTCCCGTTTGTGATGGTCTGTGGACGTTAGGGAAGTTAGGTGTCAAAGATACAGGGAGTGCTCTGGCTAATTTTACTGTGTACTGAGATAGAAAATGTTAGAAAACAGATGGAATTTTAATTTGGGATGCCACTGAAATGCCCATGTGACGGTGTCAGCCAGGACAGTAGAGCGGAAGGCTGTGCTAGCGGGAGAACCGTAAGTGCTGACGTGCTCCTCGGGGTTAAGAGCAGGCGATTTGGAGTTTGAAGTACTCAAGGACGAGGTACAAATTGAATCTGTGAGGAGAAGCTCAAGTTGAGCTAGCCATGAGATTATCTAAGTTAAAGAGAACAAAGAGGACAGCCTGGGACAGAACCCGAGAGTCCGGTGTGTCGTGGTGGGGGCGGAGGGGCTGAGGAGGAGTGGCGTGGGCTGTGGACGTCCTCAGGTGTCAGTAGCCCCTTCGAACTTCGCTGCGTCGCGTTTCCTGTATCCTGACGCTGACGAGGTCTGAGTAGGTGTATGAAGCTTCGATTTGGAATTCGTTTCATTGACTCTCAGCTTAGACCAATGTGAACAGAGAAGCTGAGGAGGAACGCTTGGGATCTGAGCTGACAGTCCGAACAAGAACAGGTGGCTGCCCACAGCTGTCTCTGATCCTTGGCGTGTGTGCAGTTACTACAGGACTTTTGAGTGTTTTTCCACAAGCGTGGTAGCCCAAACATCTCTATCATACGCGTTTTACTGTTCCGTTCAGTGTAAAGAGCGAGGAAGATCCTATACCAGAAGGTGCTTTGTTTACAGTATTGTAATAAACTATTATGATCTTTTGTTTCAGGGACAATTGCTTTGGGGCATGGTAGGAAGTGACAGTGTAGTACCTGCTAGTGTTAGAAAGACCCCAAGCGGTGCCTCCACGAGCAGCATTCTTAGTGCGTGGTCGCCGTATGGACTGCATAATAGCGTATTAGGAATATTTTTTATGTTTTAAGATACACCATACGTAAGAACTGTGTCACATACTAAATTTCTAAAATGATATTTTTAAATCTGTGTGGTTTATCTTATTGTTTCTTTAAGAAAAAACAAGAGGTTTTGCTGCCAGCTTATTTTTTGAAAACTTAACCTACGAAACGTTCTGATTCTTAGTCTTCCTTTCTTCTGTAACTGTTCTTTTTTTTTTTTTTTTTTGGTCTGAGACAGGATCTCGCTATGCAGTTCAGGCTGGCCTTGAGCTCACTTCATAGCCCAGGCTGGTCTTGAACTCGCAACAATCCTTCTGTCTCAGCCTCCCGAATACTGGAATTACAGGCGTGTGCCACCACGCCCGCCCTCTTCTTTAACTATACTTGTCTTAAATTTGCGTTTGAATTTTGTTTTTTTTTAATTTGGATTTCTTAACATGTGAAAATATGAAAAGAAGGATAAAGGATGAAAGGTCCTTGATGATTTTTTGATGATAGTTCTATATTCAACTGATGGGTTGATAGAAGGATGCCTTGGTTAGGTGGTTCTAAGTGGACATTTTGTTTAGTTTTTAATAGTGTATAATTTTGTCTTGTGTTTGTCTCAATCACTATTACATTTTCAGCTCCTTCCACTGTGTGTCGTTTGTAGCAAAAAATGAAAATGGCGTATTTGTTGTGTTACCTATAAATTTCTGCCGTGATATTTCCATAGACTTGAGTATGTAGTTAACTAAATGCTTGCAATTACAGTCTCATTTTTTTAAATGTATACTTCAGCATATACAAAGTCAGTCTCACTGGCGAGGAGCAGATAACTATCTGTGTGCCTGTGTAATATTCCTGTTGAGAGTGTACAGCCCAAATCTAGTCATTAACGGACATCAGACAAACTGAAAATGAGCAATTAATAAAAGTGGGGACAGGTTTTATATCTTAAAATGTTAAGATAGGTGGAGCAGCTGAATGCAGTCAGTACCTGAGCTTGTTTGCCTATTGCTTAGCATCTGGAGGGGGAAGAGTTTGTGTGTGTGTGTGTGTGTGTGTGTGTGTGTAAAGGAAGATTTTAAAAATGTAAATGAGATTATGGATTTATTTCTTATTCTTATTTCCCCACCTTTCATTTTTCAGGAAAGCAAAATAGATGAGCACCATTTTGTGGCAGTGGCTCTTAGGAAACCTGATGGTTCTAGACAAAAAGATGTAAGATTTGTCTATTTTTTTAAAAACATAAATCAGTGTTAAGTTTATCCTTTATTGATAAAAACCAGGCACATTACATCCAGGTTAAAGGTGTGTTTATTTTTGTAAGGTTATAGACTTAGTGCTTTTCATTAGCAGATCTTTAGGACTATCTAGGATCACAGAAACTTGTAAAGAGCATATTACCTGCTTTGTATTGAAATACACTTAAATACTACAAAGAAAAATATTGGCAATACTGTCATTATGCTTACATTTCTAATAAAAATTCATTATAATTGCTTGTAGTGGTGTTACAAGCATGCTGTTAATCCCAGCACTCTGGGAGCAAGTTCAAGCCCAGCCTAGGCAATTTAATAAGATCTTGTCTCAAAATTTAAATAAAAAAGGAAGCTGGGGATGGAGCCCAGTGGGAAAGGCCTGGGTTTAATTTCTAGTAAAGCAAAACAAACAAACAAAAAAACCAAGAAACTATGATTGCTATCTTAATCATCTTAACAGGACTTCATTCCCTAAGAAACTGGGACTGCCTTGAATGTGAGAGGTACTAATTTGGATGCTGGGAAGTAGCGGATTACATATTGCACCTCTTCCCTTTTTAAAGTAATATCCTAAATTATTCCCAGAATCATAGCATCAAATATATGAGAGGGCACAGGTCATGGCGTAATAGCAATCTCACTCGAACTTTTTGTTTCACAATCTGTTTGTATGTCTTATGCTGTTATCTAATACATGAAGGAGGAAAAAACTTAGGGGCGACATACACTTGTGTTTTTGCAGACATAATTTCTTTAAGGAATACTGATAACATTATCAGCAAAACTACATGCATGCCGTTTTTAGGGGATACACTTTGAGGGAATGTGGCGTGGTTAATATATATACACATCATTATTTTAGAAAAATAGCTCAGGCCACAGACCAGGCCTTTATAGTACATTAATCAAAGAATTAAAATTCTTCATAGATTATCCTCCTTAAAAAAGGAGTGTCATGTTAAAATTGATAACGTGTTGCTGGAAGATGTTCTGATCCAGGCTCCTTGGCCTCATGTTCTCAAGTCAGCTTTGTGCTCTGCAAATGTCTGTTGTGCTGCTTTGTAGTTCTTGGGGCATTTGCATATTAAGTACTTCCTTTGCTTTTTATTTCCCCATGGAGATCCTGTTTAGGTGGTGCTGGCATAGTGAGAAAGCTAGGTTCCAGATCCATTTAACCCCTGTTTAAGCTTTGGTTCTCTTACATGAGAAAAGCAACTTGTAAATAAAGAACAAAATGAAAGGTAGATGATAGGAGGTAGGGAGGTAGAACCTTTCTCAAGTGGGAGGGGGTCATAGGGGGAGGGAGGGAGGGGGTGGAAGGAAGGAAGGAAGGAAGAGGCTGTTACAGACCATGCCAACTCCACACAGGGAATGCAGACGTGTTGCAAACATGTACTGAAAGCAAGTGTTAACTCTCTGGGGGTCCGTACAGTTTTAAGTATATACCAGAGGTCATTGTCAAACACAAAAAGTTCAAGAACCACATTTCCTGTTTCATTTATCTTGGTAACACTAAAGTAAAGAGTAAAGATGTTTTAGAAATTCCACTGTGTTGTAATTTAGTACTACTGAAATATGTTTTTGTCTTACTGATTTTATAATCATAAAATCGATCATAAGATCATGCAGTATAGTAAGCTTTTTTTTTTTCCTCTTTTAGGTTCCTTCCCAGGATGATTCTAAACCATCCCAGAGGCAGTTTACTATTCTTACCTTTAATGATTTAATATCGTCTGCTATCCCCATGACACCTGAGGACCCTTCCTTTTGGGACTGTTTCTACTTTACAGAAGAAATCCTAATCCGAAATGGTACAAAGTCATGATACGATTCACCAAGTAACAAAAGAAAGCGACAGCTGTTTGTAATCTTCTGTATTCACTGAAAAAAATAAATCCCTGAGAGTATAAAAAGCAGTTTTTTTAAGAAACCAAAACCTTTTACTATTACAAAAGCAGCCTTGTCTTTCAAGATAGGCCCCTAGAGCGCGCTTCCCCCTTCCTGTCCAAACGTGGGCGGAGTGAACAGACAGAATCTTCACCGATACACAGAGATGGTAGGAAATGCAGATATGGGAAAGGAAATCTCTAGATCCTGTCAGAAATCGCTAGTCTGAGCTTTGAGAATCTCTCTAGACCGTTTTTTCCTGACAAATAAATCCATATTAACTTTTTTTTTAATGGGCACGTGCTGTTTTTTAATTTTTTTAAACCCTGCATGTACTGTTACAACTGTGCCTCTGTTACATGAACATACAGTGGTTCTGCAGCACTTACGTGACTAGTAGCAATGTGATCAGAGGGAGCAGTGTTCAGTTATAATTAGGTTAATAACTAGGGACATTTACAGTTCAGGGTGGTTATGTTTTAGCGTTTGTTTGTTTGGCCTTAGCCTCAATGTATTTATTTGGCCTTAGGCTCATTCCCCTTCCCAATTACAAAAACAACTGCTGTAACTTCCAGTTTTACATCTTAATAAAAATTGCATGTGTGAGGCAGGCAATGGGAAAGGCCATTTTGCCCATTCTAGTTGTCTGGTTGGTGAGGAAGATGGCTCCCACAGTCCCCCGAAGGTGTCCCCACAGTTTCTGTTGATTCAGACCTGGCCACAGAGAAAACCAATGTCTGACACTTCTGCCTCTTTAGTAGATTGTTGGAAAAGAAAAACCCAAGGCAGGTTTCAGAGGATGGCCCTGAGCTGCAGCCTGCTACCTGGCGTAAGAAGGGTGTCATGATATGTTCATTCTCCTCTGTTAGACATTTCAGTTGTCTGCATTTTATTGCTGTTAAGTGGTGGTACAGTGAGTATCCTTGTACATGTTAAGGCACATAATTATGTTCTTAATAAGGTTTTTAGAAGTAGGATAACTGATTCAAAGGGCTTACGCATTCATTTTTAAAGCTTTGGTAAGTATTACCATATTTTGCTCTTCAAAAGATTGTACAGTATATGCTCTTTGTGGTACGTGCGTGACCACTTCCACCTGTATGCTTCCTGGTCAACTGTAGTTACTATCTTTTATTTTCCTGTATATTTAATCTTTGCTAGTATAACTGAAAAATACGGCATTTTAAAAATTTGTATTTCATTCATTGCAAAGGAGATACATTGATGTTATTGGCTATTTGTATTTCTTTTTTAATGACCCTTTTGCTCGCCGTCTGCATCTGTTTCTATGTTAAAAGTAGGACATGAGGTGTGAACATAAAGTATTAAGATGCCAAGGCCATCATATTGATGACAGAATCTGTTACGTGGTTGTAGTGCATGTCTTCGGGGTTAGTCTTGTTATTGTTAAATATCAAGCAGTAAAGTATTTCACTGTTTCTATTACTAACATTAAAAGTTGCGTGTCAATTATATAAAAGTAGGTACTTTGCTCAGTAAAAAAAAATGGAATGTTTTATATTTCTTTTATGAAGCATGCTGTTATTCTAAGCCTAGTAAATAATGGGTCTTAAAAAGATCGAATAGCATTTATGATAGAGGAAGTATTGTTATCTCTAGCATGAATGTAATGGTGATACCAAGAATCATTTGTCTCGTCTCTATAATAATAAAATGATTAACTGTTATGGGATTTTTATGAGCCTGACACTGCTAGATTTTGTGTTGTTTACATTTTTTGTGTATTACTTTTTAAACTTATACCTGCAAATTGTTTAAAAAGTCAAATCAATGTCTTTTTCTAAACAAAACTACCATTACCTTGACTTTCTTACCCTTTTTTCCTATCCCCAAAACAAGCACTTTCAACTCTCAGTTAATAATTTTGTTACTTATTCCGTGTCTCCAGATAACATGCTTATTATATTGCTTTCAATTGATTTTTAGGAATTCTCTCTTTGATTCCTAATACAAAGTTTTTCTCTTCTTAGCTTTATACATTCTCTTCTTTTCCCCTTTTTCTTCTCCATATGATTATTGTGGAAGTCAGTGTTTACATTTTTGGCTGTGGTTACACCAAGAATGTTTACATTATTAAGGTTATGTAAACTCTGACTGCCACTGAGTGACGTGTTCTTTTTCCTTTACCCCACGTTTTTACTTCCTTGAGCCAGTTGACTTGGCATGGACCTCCACCAAATGTGTGAATGCTTTGTGCGCATGCTCGGACCCGGCAGTTACTCCGGCAGCACCATTCATCTTGAAGAACCACTGAAGCAAACTGCTTTGTGCAGTCTGGACCACTCTGGCTGGGCTAAAGCTGTCATTCTGAAATCTCCTTCGCCGTCATCCTGAGGATAGTTTGCCTCTCCCTGGGGATAGTTGCCCCTTGGCATCCCTGTCCCCCCATTTCCTATATCTTGTGTCTTTCTTAGATGTACTCCATTGTGTGGTGTATGTCCTCAAGTAGTTTCCTGAAAATCATGGCAATGTGGAAGATCCACCTCTGCACAGCAGTGTAGGGATCAAGTTTATTCTTACACCAGTAGCCTGTTTCCCTCCACCCTGTTTGTTAGCTGTATTAATTTCCACTTTGTCCAAGAATTCGGTGTTGCCAAATGCTGTTTCTTTCTGTGCTTGACCAGTGCTGCTTCCTGTGTGTACTATATCCAACACTGTTCTTTGCGTCGCATCATCCTGCCCAGTGTATGGCTGTCTTAGCCTCTTACTAAGTTCCTGCACAGGAACTTGAATGAATTGCTTCTTTAAGAACTGGTTCTACATATGTGTTTCTTGGTGATTCAGAAAATTACTAGTTTTAGATAAATTTTCAGTTAAAATATTCACTGTCAAAATTTGTCCTACTCAATATCTTAAACCTATAAGTGAGTTAGGCTTGAGTAACTCAGCCCCTCACTAGTTTAACTGTTACCATCTAAATTCTGTAGAACCAAATAGATTTATACATATACCTGCGTACATTTGATTTTAAAAAATACCTGAAAGCGAGGACATGAAGGAAGGTACGGATGCATTTCATTTTTATGGGCAAGACGAATCTTTGCAGTGTCAGTTAATGTCAAAAGGCATGTGTCTGGTCCAGTGTATTTATGTTGGAATAGTGGTCTTCTATCCTCAATGCTTCACATTTATCAGCTTCTTTAATTCTCATCCACTTAGGGGGCAGGTCTTGTTATCCAGTTAACACGGATAGGGAAGATAAGGCGCTGAGAGTGCTGAGCGGCATATTGAAAATCAGGTATCCTTAGACTAGTGGAGCTTATCTGAACCTAGACAGCCCAGGTCTGGAGCCTGAACTTAACTGATACTAAACTTAGTGATTAGCTATGATATTAAGTGTAGTGAAAATGTGCTTGTAAATATTTAACAAGCAGTAATAAGGAGTCGGGTGATGGGATCAGGAGGCTTTATTTGTAGCCTTTGCTCATCCCATGACATAATGGCATGTGTGTTACCGATATGAGTTGCCATTATGCCATATTTGCTTCAGATTTTTTTCCTTATTTAGGACTAAAGCAGATGCAACTAAAGACGCCCTCCCTCCGTCCTTCCCGCTCCAGCAATAGCTTCTACCGTAGTTACAGTTTTATTCTCTTACTACTTCACTGTGCAGCCGAAATTAATGCATCTTGTGCATTTAATGTTTTGTGCTTGTAGCCTGTGTTTTCCTGTTAGGCTTGGAACAGTACAATGGAAAATGTTCCTGTCAAGGCAAGTGTCGGAATAATGGAGCTCGTATTTGAGCCCAAAGTTTTCAAAGAATATGTGTCGCGTAGGACTGTTCACAGTGGTTACTCGTCGCAGGATGGCAGCTGGACCTCTACAGGCACGCATTTACCTAAAGCTTCGGAAACTTCAGAATAAAAGCAGTACAGATAAGTAGAATGCAAAAATGCAAACTTGCCCGCATTTGTAAAAATAGGGACTTGAGGGGAATTTTTTTTCCCCTAGGAGTTCAGAGTCTCTTGTTTTTAGGGTCACTTACTCTCTTGGAAAAAATGGGAAAGAACTCAAGTTTGAAACAAAAATGGCATTGATTGACTATTTCATCACAGCTGCATAGTGCTCCTAATACACCCCCTTTTCAGGTTACCTTCAGCGCATGGCCGTGCGCCAGGCATAAGGCCGTTCTTCTGGCGAGAAAGCCTTCCGCAGTAGCCAAGCAGGAGCCCATGATTTTGGTGGTGCTGACGACACCTTGACCATGTTTTCTGTTGATACTTAGTATATTTTAAGTGCTTTTTCCGTGCATTTTTCCAGTACTACATGAGCAAGAAGTCTGCTGAATTATTCTTTTCTTAAGTTCACTATAAGCTGTCGCCTTGCTCACCTTGCTCAATGTCTCAGGCATACCAACTAGGCCATCTTTCCCTTAGTAGGAAATGGAAAGGGTGATGAGTAGCTACTGTAAATATTGGGTGTTAAGCCCAGGGCCTTTAAACTACATTGCCAGCCCTTTTTAAATTTTGTGTTAAGTTGCTAAGGTGACCAAGCTAGCTAACATTTGGGATCCACTTGCTTCAGCCTCCCAGAGTGCTGGGGTTACAGGCACGCACCACTGTGTGTGGCTTAAATTTCCATTCTCGTATGCCACAGAGATTGTGGTAATTTGTGATAACAACCGCTACCACAAACACACACGCACGCACACATATGTATGCACACATTCCCAAGTTTTCAGGGATTTTAGGCGTATTAAATGGAAGAACAGTGTATATGTACTTACCTTTCTAGAAATGGCAACTTCCAGAAAGGCATTGAACACAGATTATCAGGAATAAATGAACCACCGCAAGACTGGAGCATTGAGGGCAGGTTAGGTTACTGCTATTGCTGAGCTATAAAGTTACTCCTCACATTCAGGTACACTGATGCCTCTGTAGTGGAATTTGCATTGCTGAACTTAATTCCGTAGTTCTAGTCACTTAATTGGGTTGCAGCCAGAACTGTGGAACAGATTCTGCAGCCAGAGTCAGGGAAAGAATTAAGTTCGTGGACCAAGGCTCCACCGTGTTGCATTTATCTGACAGGGACCGTCACAGGGACACGGCTCCCCTCCAGAAGTGGCAGCGTAGGAGTTAGCTGGTAAGTGGGTTAGACTAACAGCTCCTACACGCATGTTCCACTATTCTTTCTGGAATCAGGAAAATAACTTATAAGATGGACTCTGGCCTACTTCTACCTGTCTGGATAGCCATAGCTTAGTCCCCACGTGTGTATAGAAATCATTCTCATCCTACTTGTGATTGTCATCTGTATTCCTTTTTGGGGGAGTGGGTACCGCGAATCAAACTCAGAACTTTGCACTTGCCAGGCAGGCCCTTGTGCCACTGAGCTATATCCCCAGCCCCGACGTCCATATTCCTAAAGCTAATAGGGAACTCTCAATCCCAAATTTATTGGCTAATTTGATAACATTTTACAAAGTTACTTTTGTCCTTGGGCTTCAGGGGTACTGCAGGTAACTTCACCTACCCCGCTGGCCACTGCGTACCAGGCTGTTGGGACCTTGTCTTCCTGAACCGTCGGGCACTCCATGTCATATTCCTCATACATCGTCACGTTTTTATCCATCCCTGCGCTCTGATCTCATTAGCCCGAGCATCTGATCCCTGTCCATGTCTGATGCGTCCCAGGTGTTCAGGTCTGTCTGGACCTCTGCAGACTTCCGTCTCCAGACTCACCTGCAGCTGCCGGCAGCACATGCCCACCTGCTGCCTATTGATAATTCACACATATGCTTGAAATTGAGTATTTAACATTCATTCTCCCTCTACCCATCCAAACCTCCGTCATCACTGAGATTGTTCCTACCTCTTTCCCATCCCTCTGTCTCAGCATATGGGATCTTGATCCTTCCCGTTGTTGGCCTTGCACCCTTGGAGTCTCACTCTTCTCTCATGTTCCACAGACTGTTTTCTTACAGAGTTCACCGTACAGTTCTCAAGCAAATCAGGTCTACCTGCAAGCCACGTCATCTGACCAGATCTCACCATGTGCACTGTTGCCATCCTAGTCTAAGCCAGGACTGTGTGCCCCAGGTGACTGCCACCACCCCTCACTGGACTCCTTGCTTCACTCCTCTCAGCTACTTCTCCATGCAGCTATCATTTCACACACCATAAAAGCCAGAGTCTTAAATATAATAGCCTGGGTGCTCTTGTCTCACTTCCCTAACCTGGTTTCCTACATTCTCGCGTTATGTACTCTCTTACAGCTATACTGGCTTCTTCCCTGTTCTTTGAACGTGTCATGAATGCTTCTGCTTTCCTTCTCTCTAGAATGTTCTTCCAGTTACCACCTAGCTCACTCATTTCCATCAGGGCTTCCTCATCTTAGAGGAGCATGCTCTGTAAAACCACGCGCATGTGCGCATGCGTGCATACACACACACACACACACACACACACACACACACACACACACACACACACAGCCTTACTCGCCCCAGCACTGCTTCATTTTTCCTTCTGGTACTGAGCCACTTCTAACATGCTGTAGATATTTTACTTTCTGCATTATAATCTGTCTGCTCACCTGCTCCACTACTTGTCAGACGAAGCCCCAGAGGTGACAGGTCTAATCTACTTCCCTTGAATGCTAATTCCCCAGGGTCAGCACCACACAGCTCACATGAAGGCTCAGCAGCTGTTTGAATGATTGTTGGGGTTTTACA